CGTGGTGGCTAGTCGGAGTGTGGGATTTTTTTATATATTTTTTTAATTTGATCGGCAGTTTAAGCCCACCGGAAAGCCACCGGAATAATTTGTCGCCTGAATTTATTTTCAGGCCCGGTTTTTACCGGCGAAATTTTAACCGCCAGAAAACCGCCGCTAAATTACAAAACCGTCGGAAAAGGCTAAATATTCGCCGGAAATGGGTGATTTTCCTGTAGTGTTTGTAAGGGCCGGCACTCACATATGTAGCCAAAATTTTAAACCCTTAGAATGAGACCAACTGAGTGGCAAATTCATACTTAGCTATAAATAAACAAAGTTTATGCATTCTCAGAATTTGAAGGATGCCTATCAAATGCTTTAAATGATCATCCAAAGTGTTTTTATACACTAATATATCACCAAAATAAGCCACACAAGATCGATTTAGGAATGGCGTCAAAACATTGTTCATCAAACACATAAAAAAGGAAGAGGCATTGTACAACCCAAATGGCATCACTTTCCATTCAAAAAGCCCTTCTCATGTTTTAAATGCATTTTCCATTCATCTCCCAGACGGATTTGGATCTGGTGGTAACCATTGCGAAGGTTGAGCTTAGAAAATATCTTTGAACCTGATAGTTTCTATAACATCTCCTCGATTCATGGCATTAACAATATAAACTTGACTGTGATTTTATTAATTGCTCTACTATCTATGCACATCCTCTAACTATCATCCTTCTTATGAACCAATAAGGCAGGAACGGCACAAACACTCAAGCAATGTTGTATTAACTGTTTGTCTAGTAATTCATCAACTATTTGCTACATGAACTTTTTTCCGTTAAGACTAAGTTTATAATGTGGCAGATTGGGTAATGTAGTCCTGGTGTGAGTTCAATCTGATGTTGAATTGTCATCAATGGCGACAACTCCATGGGTAAGTCTTCAGTACAAACATCATCAAATTGACTTAATAAAGAAGTCACAGCCAATGGAACATTAGAAATAGAAGTATTGGGAGTCACTTATTTCACTATTACTGCCATTATATTAGTGAACTCCTTTTAAGCATTCAACAAAGCTTTGGCGGGCACAAAGTATAGAGCAATTTTTCTCTTGGGATTATTGGTCCCTCGACCGAAAATGCTTGGGAGCAGATGGAGTCGATGACCTTTCCAATCAAATGCATAGGTTTTTGCCTTGCAATCATATATAGCCCCTAATGTCGTATTATCATGGCCTACCTCAAAAAGGTGACAAACATCCATGTCCAAAATATCACATAAGACTTCGCTAGGATAGTGTTTTTCTATAGAGAATTTTACCTTGCATAATTTTTTCACGGACATCTAAAGTCCTTTCTTAACCCAACTGATTTTGTATGGGTTAGGTTTTTGGTAGTCTTAAGCTGCAGAGCATGTACCATTGCTCGAGATACTACATTTTCAATGCACCACTATTAATTTATTAATAGGATGTAGACCTTCCCACCAATGGTACATTTTGCCTTGAATAAGGCATTTCGTTGAGAAGTGAATGGTTATTTGGGTGCTAATCATAGTTTTTCTAGGACACACACTAGCAGTTCTCCCACATTTGTTGTCACATCCTCCTAGAAAATATTAGACTCATTCTCAAGTTCTGTCGATTCTTCTTCTACATCCGTATCCAGCAATTATAGTTGGGGTCTTTGAAGGGCACTCATTAGACTTATGCCCCTGTTGAAAACACTGAAAGTACTTCATGTTTGAGGGTTTATCATAGGGAATTTCTCTAATAGACACTCTTCCTTTCATTCCAGCTCTTGGTTCCATGATTTTGCCAATTGCATTATAATGGCCGACGGCCTCAATTGTTGCAACTTGTTTCTTATTATTCTAGGGTAGAAAATAGTATTTGAAGTCCGACTAATGTCGAATGTTTGTTCTAGTAATATTGAAGTACGCCTATATTGATGACCTATATTGTGCCGAAGAAACTGTATCTTCACCTTTAAGGCACAGTTAACAGCTTAGGACAAAGGCCAAACAACATTTAGCTCTAATTTATCTTGGATTACCTCCTTTAACCCACTAATGTATCGGGCCACCAATTGATTAGTTGATCCGTTCAAGTTATTTCGAGCACTTAAACAATAAAACTCTTCGGTGTAGTTGTTGATGGATCTATTGCCTTGGCTAAAATACTTGTATTATAGATACAAAATTTATTCATAATTGGTAGGGAGATAGTGCCATTGCAATAACTATTTCATACTATGCCAACTATGAACGTGTCCACATCCTTCCCTCCACTGCGTTTTGGAGCATCTGCTACCACCACAGCCCACTTTGAGCCTATAGGTAATATACTTCACTTGCTTTTTCGAATCAATCTCCATATATTCGAAGAAAGTTTCAGCTGAAATCTACCAATCCAGATAATCTTCTATAAGTTATTTACCATCAAAATATTGTATGTCAAGCTTAACCCAAAACTCATTGTGCATGGGAAATGTTTGCTTCTCTCAGTTGTCATCGACGGTTGTTGGGAATTTCTTTATCCGAGTCTGAAACTTCAAAGTTCTAGAATCTATCTGATTCGTTTTCTAAATCGAAAGCTTCAATAATTTGAGATCTCCATTGACGCAATCTTTTGGTCTCCACTTCCTATCTCGCCACCGGCACAATCCGAGCGGGTTGACTCATGTCTAAGCGAGTAGTGATTCCCCTCAGCTCCTAACGAATTTCATCATAGAACCAATTCAAATCTGCTAACAGCTCCTCTGTCTGCCACCCCAAACTATTGTGTGCTTCGCAGAGGGCATCACGGCTGTTGTCAATCCCAGGAGTCACTCGTCTGCTGCTTTCAGCCATCTATCTCTAATACCAATACTGATGTAGGAATCCGACGGTTGAGGTTTCAGCAAACAGAAAATAATGGAAAAGTAACAGACGGTGTTACTAAGCTTTGAAAAAATAGAGTTATGTCAAAAATGAAAAAAACTAAGTTTCTAAGCTACAGTTCTTTGGCTAAGTAATTCCTCTCTCAACTTAGAGTACCAAAATGGTTAAAATAGTAAACAATGCTATCATGTGCAGTGAAATTAGAATTAGCAATAGTAGTGTAGTGGAACGATCCTAACTAACAAATAAGCAGCATGTGCAGATAAGTTGTTCCGCCCGGTCTCTATGGCTAAGATGCTCCGCATCATTTGTCCTTCATAATTGATGTAGGTGGCCAAGAGATACATTGAGAAATAGGCATCGGCTTATGTTATATAACAATACCAATATAAATCCTTGTGTTCCTGTATTACTTGTTCGGCTTGCTCGATTTACTGGTCTTATTTACTTAATATTTATTATTGTATTTCAAATCATTTTTGTGCGTTTTTATTCTTGCCCTATACTGTGATTATTTACTTAACTCTTATTCCTACGTTATTTTTGTTCATGAATTTTTATCACGCACGTAATTCACCCTATTTTAAGTGCGCTTCCAGGTCAACTAACTGATATTAACAATAATAGTAAAATTTTAAAATCCTAGTATAATGAACAAAAAAATAACGGTCTTCTGTACTTAAACATTTTATAAGATCGTTAAAAGCCAAATCTACTTCCGGTATCAAATATCGGTCGATGTCATTGATTGCCATTTGCAGCAATTATTCTGATAATATTCCATCACGTTTCGTTTCTAAGCAAACAGAAACCATTCCCCTAAAACTAATATAATTTCATTAAAGTCAACCAAAATATAACTGTAGAAAAGGCCAAAACAAAAAATAATAAAGAATTCCCCTCGTTCCCACGAAGTTAAAAAACCAATCCTTGGACGCCAAAGTGCGGTTGGTTCCAGGTAGGCAGAGCAGTTGATCAAATTGAAATTATACCCAAAATATGACATGTGAGAGAGTTGTAGAAGGCAGGGGAAGGCCGAAAACAAGCAACCCAAACCCCAAGAAATTTGGCTTCTGCCACTGCAAGAAAACCATCTCCAGAACTAAATAAGAGAACTCCAGCTATTCCGGGGTTATAAGATTATATAATTGACAAATTAAGCTAATGAACGAAGTAGTTGAATAACTTTAACTAAGATTATATAACCAAAATTCTTTCAAAGTTTAAACTAGTGAGGGCCCAACTCTTTATCTAATAATCTCAGCATATCTAGCCCGCTATTAATAATCACCAACAACCAACACCAACTTTGCCGGGTGTCCATCATTCATTCCTCCATTAATAAGCCTTACCCTCATCAATAAAACCCTCAAGGGCCATTACACCAAACCAGAGCAACTTCTTGAGAGAGAAGGGAAAGAGATAGAGAGAGAGAGAGAGTTTTGAAGATGGTGAACTTCGTGGAAGCACAGAAGCCTCTTCTCCATGCTCTCGTCAGGCTGGCAGGTCTTCGGCAGCTCACGGTGGAGATCCACCCAGGCACCTTTATGAGCTTCTGGGTACCCAAAGACAAGATCCCCAAAAAGAGCACCAATAAAGAAATCGTCCCAGTGGGAAAGACCAGCGACGTCAACAAAAACAAAAAGAAGGGGGAAGGGAAGAAAGAGAAGCCAGCAGTGGTGCTCGTGCATGGCTTCGCCGCAGAGGGGATCGTCACGTGGCAGTTCCAGGTAAGGGTGTTAACCAGCTAGGGTTTTTTTTTGGCTGGATTGAATACTTTACTATCATAGCCGAACAAGAAGAGCCAGATTCATTAATAAGAACTTTTTAATTTTTATTCTTTAGATCTAATGCATTAAAAAAAAAGGCACGATTTTCAAAGCGCTTCATCTTTTAAATAATGTTAGAATATATATTTTAAATGTATAATATATTTTTAATAAACATTATATAATATAAATTTTAAGAAAAAATATTAGGTCAATATATTCAAACTTGTTTTCTTTTTAGATAAACTTAAAAATGAATACATGAAATTTTCTATTATATTTAAATACATCATTTTAATTTATAGATTAATTTTAAATAATGAAGAGATTTACTTTCATAAATATTATTAAAATATTAAATTCTAAAATAATTATATATAATTAAAAATATATAAATTACATAAAAAGTTTTTTGTGATAATATTTTATAATTATCCTAATGAAAAATATATATTTTTAATATATTTATGATATAATTTTTTTAAATTTTTTCATAATTCTATTCATGAATAAAAATAAATCTTATGCATGTAGATTGCTTGTAATCGTTTTCTTAAATAATGAAAAAAATTGTTGTTGCTGCAATTAATTACTTCAATTAAATGATCTTACAGGTGGGAGCTCTGACCAAGCTCTACTCAGTCTATATCCCTGACTTGCTCTTCTTCGGGGCTTCCAGCACAACGGCAGCTGATCGATCACCGGAGTTTCAAGCCGACTGCCTCGCCGTAGCGCTGGACCAGCTTGGAGTGCAGAGATGCACGGTTGTGGGGTTCAGTTATGGGGGAATGGTGGCTTGTAAGATGGCGGAGGCAAGACCGGACCTCGTAAATTCGATGGTGGTTTCGGGTTCTGTTACTGCTATGACTGATTCGATCAGTGCGGAGACGATGGAGCGGTTGGGATTCTCATCGTCAAAAGAGCTGTTGTTGCCGGAGTCTGTGAAAGGGTTGAAGGCGCTTTTGAAGGTGGCGACCTATAAGAAGCTCTGGTTCCCGGATTTTTTACACCGGGATTACCTCAAGGTATGCATTCCATTCAAGCTTTGGCGATGTTTTTTACTTGTTTCTTTTTTAAGAAAATTTTAAGAAAATAATTATTACTTAAAAAAGGGCGGTTAAGCCTGATGCTAATTACATCATGGGCTAATTTTTTTCTCAAATTTTAATATAATATAATTAAATTCTGTCATATTTGATCATAAATTTATTTTAAGTTTGTTTATGACTTCGCACTAATTAATAGAGGATCGCTTTTTCTATTAAAATTTTAAAAAATTTACTATGATTTTTTTTTTGGGTAAATGTAATCACTACGGAAAACACGTGATTACCGGTGGAATTTCTGGCGGAAATAAATTCGTCACAAATTCCGACGGATTTTTCGGCAATTTTCCGACGAAAAATTTTCACCGAATTTCTGACATATTTTTCGACTCTCTTTCCGACGAATGTTTTTGGAATGCATTTTTCTCAATTAATTGATTCAGAAATGTTGGGTAATCATTTTTTCTTTTAATTTCTTATCTGCTTTAAATGCAATAGCGTCAAGTCCAATTTTTAGGTGGTTGTTAGGAGATCTTTGGAACTATTTGTTTTCTTTCTCCCAAAGTAATTATTATTTAATTATTTTATATCAGTTAAAAAAATTTAGATATAATTATGAGAACGAAGTTGTGACAATATTTTACTAAGTTTATTTTTTTTTTTATGATGGATTTAAAATTTTGACAGACAAAAAAAATCTATGACATAATAAATTTTTTTTTTTAAGATTGCAATAGCAGATGCATCTATGACATAATAAATACAAGATAAAATAATTAAATTTCTAAAAGAAATTATTTTTTAAACAAATTTAAATATAATGAAATCAGATGCCATGAAATATAAGATAAATAATAAATTTTTAACACATTTATTTATAATAATTTTTTTATGAAATATATGGTAAATTTTGTATGTGAAATTTTTTGCATGTGAACATTTTTTAAATTGATCCTGATAAAAATTTGATCAAAATATTTGAATCCAATTTTTTTAATTAAGAATGTTAAACCAATGGGTGCATTAATTTTTTTTTTTTATTTTAAAAAATTGAATTGAAATATTTTGATCAAGATTTATTAGAATAAATCTTTTTTTTTATTTTAATTCTAACTAATTTTTTATGTATGACATAATCTCTAAATAAATTAAAATTTTTTGAAACTTGATTAAGAATCAAATTGTACTTAATTTAAGTTATATTTTTAAAATGAAAGAACTCTAGCATTTTATTCGATAAAAAAGTTAAATGTAATATATATTCTTCTTCAACTACTATTCAATTTATACGTGTTAAATTAATCAACTCTTCACATTTGAAACTAAATATTTATTATATTTTTGAATCATTTACCGAATTTAATTGTAAATTAAACCAAATACTAAAAAATAAATGGCAATCTCCCAACGACATAAACCCCACCACTATCCACAATAACTTATTTACTCTCTCTCCGCATTAGCATTTTTTTTTTTCATTTTTTATGTCTAAGATTTCATTTGGGATAATTTTTTAATTAACTACTTTTTAAAACAATTTTGTAGTAATGTAGGGGTTAGAAAGATGCCCCAAACCATGCCTAAATCCTTTAAAAAAACAACTGTGGAACGGAGGTACGAATGTAGTTCTTGAACCCACTAAACCAAAACTTTCACATGCACACAGAGATTCCTACTTTGTTTAAAAATATCAATTTTTTTTTTTTAACAATAAACGCAACAGAAATTTTCTTAGGAACTAAAAGAAAAATCTCTGGGCCAAAGAAAAAAAATTGAGATTTTTCTAACTGGCCGTAAGCATTTGGGAACAATATAAGTTATTTTAGCCGAGCCAATTATCTCAAAATAATTCAATTAGCTTCAAATAAAATTTGAAAGAACATATTCCTACTTCTGTATATATAGAATATTGCTTAGGTTACTTTATGAGTTATTAATGCCTTATTTAGTCTTTATCGTTGCGGATTAAGCCTTTATTGCTTGTGGTTGAGTAGTTACAGGTCTCGTCATCTCATCATATTAATCATATAGACATTTCAGCGTATAGAATTTTGCGTGCGCTGCCTGATTAATGGCTCATTTACTCTTTCTGGTGGCTAATTAAAGCTGGTTGGCTTGTGGTTGAGCAGGTCATGTTCACGAATAGGACCGAGCGTGCGGAGCTGCTGGAGGGTCTTGTCAGAAGCAACAAGGACGCCCAAGTCCCAGTTTTGCATCAGGTGATTAATTATTTATGCCACTAAGATTACGATTTTTAAAAGAAATAGAGATTTTTTTTTCAAAAAAAATTATCATCTTATTTTTTAATCATATAAAATCTAATTATCGAATCAGAATTATTCATGCTAAATATTACCAAAAAATTATCGCTTTAAATTTTCTAGAATTTTAAGATGATTTGATTATGTATCAAATATATAAAAATTAAACTCATATTGAGAGTCTAAATAATGAGATAAATAATTCACTAAATAATATTGTGTTAAATTAAATGAAAACTTTTTAACACATGTAAAATATATTCTATTTTTGACAACAAAAAAAAAGAATTGATATATTTGCTTATATTTGTGCCACAAAGTAAAATAAAAAGATAAAGAAAATGAGATTTTTACTTGTTTCATTATTGAATAATGAAGGATATAGAGATGTGACATCAGCAATCAAATTATTAAAGATTTTTACACTTATCTTTATTATTTTTTTAAATTTAGAGCCGAGTTGAACTACTTTTAACAAATAGTAATGCCACACTATCATATTTAATATATAAGTTGATGCGTTGCTGTCCTACAGTGATCAAATTTAATATTTAATAACATAAAATTTTAAAATCACTTTTTTTAATATATATAGATTTTTGTCGATTCTTAGGCTTTATTTGATCGAGACAGTTTTTTTATTACTTCTTAAACCAATTTTTTTAATTTAAAAATTAAAATTTAAATTTTAAAAAATTGCTTTAAGAAACAATAAAAAAATCGTCCCAAATAAAACAGGACAAATCTCTCATTTATTAACAATTTTTTTTATAAGATCCGATGGTACTCCCTTCCTTTTTTTTCGAAAAGTTTTGAAGATTCATTTTTAATTTATTTAAAAAAATATATTTAAGTTCTGGCAGACGTGAATAAATAGCCTTTATAACCGATGGGTGAGAGCCAGTGGCGCTCAACTAACACAGATTTCCTCTCCTAATGGTGAAGATAATTTGACCTTCAAATTCACCGGCCATGTCGACAAATGGCAGAGACCTTTAAATATAAAAGAATATTACTGAAGCTGTGAAGTAAATTTATATAAGAAAATTATTTAAAAGTTAGTTTTAAATGATCCAATCAAATTCAAAATGTAAAGGGTTTTGACTAAATTTTTTATAGTTGTACAGCCTGAACATGTGATGATGTTCGCACGAGGTTTTTCGGCTACATTTGTTGGTTTATAATATTTCTCATATAAATCAATCTCATTGCTCGCTCAAAAACTATTTTAAAGATGTTTAAATTTTTTAAATTGTATATTTATTAATTACGTTGCTGATCATATATTGATGGTGATCATTAGGATAGAAAGCTATATTTTATGCATAATTTTATTTTAAAAATTTTCAAGTCTTACTGTAGAATAACTAAAGGGTGATGGAAGACAGTTAATTATTGTTACTCAAATGACGTATTTAACCGCTTCAAGGCTTGTTTCATGTAGTTTTCTGATGGCTTTGTTTTTTTCATGTAGTTTTCAAATGAATATTATCATTATTTTTTAAAAAAATTTTATGATGAAAAGTTGTTTTTATAATCAAATCTATTAATCTATGGTTTAGAGTTCATAGTTTAGAAGCTAGCTGCAAGAAAAATGTTCTCATTTTTTAAAATTAAATATATTTGCAAGTCAAATGGTTTTTATAAAAATTATTTTTCCTATAAACTGCTATTGTTTCATGTAGACCCTCAATTGTGGATTATAGATTTAATATAAAAATTGAGTTGGCTAATCATACTAATGTTTTGGTTCATAGATCATAAGATAAATTTAAGATAAAAATATGTTTTAAAAAATGAAATAATTTCGACACATAAATGCATGGAATTTTTTTTTTTTTATATTTAAGAAAATTTAAGAGATTGTGAAGTTTAAAATTCAACAAAATCATAAAAGCAACCAAATGACCTAAGACTACGAACACTGCTAAAAAAATTTCTTTGGAGCTTGATTATCTGTAGCTCCATATCCCTCTGTTAGCATTACCCTGCTCAGTTCCTCAATTTTGTTTCTAATTATTTATTCTGTAGTAAAAACTTGCATGAGAGGACATAAAGCTTAAATAAATGTGTATATTGAGAAATTAATTGTGTGGGGACATTTAAATAAAGCGGTCTCTCACTTTTTTTCATAAAAAAAAAAAAAAAATCTTCGTCTATTCTTTTTAAGCTTATTATATGATGGAAAACTTTTCTTCTACTATGTTGAAGTAGTTATAATTTCATTCGCCTTACTGAAAATTTATTTTAAAACTTTTTCCTATCACTTGGTCGCAGAGAATACTTCTTCTGTGGGGAGAAAATGACAATATCTTCAATCTGGAGCTCGCCAAGAACATGAAAGAGTAAGCAATGGCGCCGGCTCTGTTTCTCCTATTCTATAAATAAATAAATAAAATACTGGCTCAATTGAGATAACTTGAATCTACATAATTTTATGCATAGTAATCAAATAATTTTTATATTATACTCATCTTTTAAACAAAAAAGAAAATCAATTTCAAGATTTTATCATAGCTAAATTTTAAGTAGGATGTTTAGATCCAAATATAGGATAAAATTCCCAAAAAAAAAAAAAAAAAAAGATACCCAAGTGTGAAGGCCTGCCATTGAATTTGAATTATTAATGTATGGATTTGCATTAGTATAAATTTTTTATCATATTGTACGTTCGTCAATCGAATAACAATGTAAAATAAGTATGAATGTTTAATTTTCTCGCACTTCCATTAATGTAACAAGGGCTCCTTATTCAATATTAATCAGAAGACAATATTCTTATATTCCAATTACATTGTATTTCCTCGAGTGTTCTTATCTTGGTTTATTGCACCCAGCTGATAACAAAACTCATTGCAAATCTTCATGTTATAGGTAAATCACTGAATCGTATTGATTGCATAGCTAGTTGTTACAGAAGGAAAACCACTGGCCGTTTGAATAACTGGTGTAGGGGTTGCAAAATGGTGAGAGGGACTGCCTGTACACCCGTATTCGCTTTGCTCGTGTTGATCATGTTAATAATTAAAAACTCAGGTTCTACAACTCATAGACTCTAAGCCATCTTAATTTGTCATGCCTAGAAGTTGTCCAAGGCTTTTAGTTGCATGCTACCCTTAACTCACCTATAATTGAATCTTGATAATTCAGTAAGACTAAGGCTTCATTTGGGACGGCTTTTTTACTGCTTCTTGAAGCAGCTTTCTAGTACAAAAGTTTTAATTTTTATACTAAAAAGCTGTTTCAAGAAGTAGCAAAAAACCCGTTCCAAACAGAGCCTAAGACTTTGTTTGGGATAGCTTTCTTAGTACTTTATAAAACAACTTTCTAATATAAAGTTTTTTAGTTTTAAAATTTTTTGTACTAAAAAGCTATTTTAGAAAGCAGTAAAAAATCCGTCCCAAACAGCCTAATACGTCCTACGCATATTCTAGACAGAACTCATTTAAGGGACTCTGGACGTCCGTAGCAAAATAAGGCCACTCAACCCAAAGATCTCAACTACTCATTGAAGGTATTCACATGCAGAGTCTATGTTCTCATTATAACAATAAAAAAAATAACTTTGAATTATAATTTTAATAAAAAACAGCCAAACAATATATTCTAACATTGTATTCATATGTTTTGAATTAGTACATGAAACAAAACATGAAAAGAGATACATCAAAAGAAGCATATGAAAGCCTACAACTAATTAATCATTTTCAATCTCCTCAGTCTCTTGAGCCTACTACTAATGTTCCTGCTCTATGAATGACCTTAGCTCAGCTTGCATCCACCTTTGCTATGCTTGCCTATCAACTTGTGCTTATTGCATTCATTATATTTCCTTTATTATACCTGCCACCCCTTAATTGACTAATTACTCAATGCCGCTATCCACAAAGGACACTGAGCTAGATGATTATGCTTCATATGCATAGGCTTATGAGCCTAATCTTTATATTTAAGAAAATTTAAGAGATTGTGAAGTTTAAAATTCAACAAAATCATAGAAGCAACCAAATGACCTTATTGAAAAGTTAGATTAGTGGATCGGGCTTCATCACTTAAAGACTACGAACACTGCTAAAAAAATTTCTTTGGAGCTTGATTATCTGTAGCTCCCATATCCCTATGCTAGCATTACCCTGCTTACCCTGCTCAGTTCCTCAATTTTGTTTCTAATTATTTATTCTGTTGTAAAAACTTGCATGAGAGGACATAAAGCTAAAATAAATGTGTATATTGAGCAATTAATTGGGTGGGGACATTTAAATAAAGCGGTCTCTCACTTTCTTTCCTAAAAAAAATCTTCATCTATTCCTTTTAAGCTTATATATGATGGAAAACTTTTCTTCTACTATGTTGAAGTAGTTATAATTTCATTCGAGTTACTGAAAATTTATTTTAAAACTTTTTCCTATATCACTTGGTCGCAGAGAATACTTCTTCTGTGGGGAGAAAATGACAATATCTTCAATCTGGAGCTCGCCAAGAACATGAAAGAGTAAGCAATGGCGCAGGCTTTGCTTCTCCTATTCTATAAATAAATAAATAAAATACTGGCTCAATTGAGATAACTTGAATCTACATAATTTTATGCAAAGTAATCAAATAATTTTTATATTACACTCATCTTTTAAACAAAAAAAAATCAATTTCAAGATTTTATCATTGCTAAATTTTAAGTAGTCTCCTATTCTATAAATAAATAAATAAAATACTGGCTCAATTGAGATAACTTGAATCTACATAATTTTATGCAAAGTAATCAAATAATTTTTATATTACACTCATCTTTTAAACAAAAAAAAATCAATTTCAAGATTTTATCATTGCTAAATTTTAAGTAGGATGTTTAGATCCAAATATTTGTAACACAAGGTTCAAATGCCCAAAAAAGAAAAAAAAGAAAAAAAGAAATTGTACGTAGCTTACTATTCAAACAAAGCACTACTTGATTGATATCTTTTTTTTTTTTTTTTTCTTACTATTCAAACAAAGCACTACTTGATTGATATCTTTTTTAAAAAGAAAGAAAATTACAACTTAGGCTGTGATAGTGATCCTATCACATTCCTCCTTAACAAGAGAAAAGAAAAAAGGAGGAGCATTATTGATGTTCTCCCATAAAAAATCGTCTTTCAAGGCATGATTAGCACAAAAGCGTGCTAATTTATTACAATCTCTATAAGCAAAAAGAAATAAGAGACTTTCAAAATTTTGAAGAAAAGATAAGTCTTCCAGATTTACCTCTGAGCTCAGAATATCCAATCCATGAACAGATTTTTGGAGATGATTGATAATATTCCAATTATCCCCTTCAATGACAATGCCTTCATAGTCAAGCATCCAATCTTTGATCATAAGCTTAATATGACGAAAGGCTAATAGCTCAAGTAAGCCAATGTCCCAATGAAAGCATTTATGACCGAAAGCTAAAAGCAATCTACCTTTATCATCTCTAATTACACCACCGAGTCCAGCTTCATAAGATTGATTCAAGGCTGCATCAATATTAATTTTGATCCATCTGGTTGAAGGGGGAAGCCAATAGGAATTCAGCTTAGGAAGCTGGTTGACATTCCAGTGATCCGAATACATAGCAGTTTTGGAAGAGATAGATGCAACACAAATTGAATTAGAAAGAATATAATTCAACCCAAATTCTCTATTCTCATGAATGAGCTGATTTCTGCTTTTCCAAATGAAATAAATCAGGGAGCAGTATAGATGAGGAAGGAATGGATTATTAATGTTGTTCATTTTCAAGATACGAACACAATCCAGTAAGGAATGAAATCCTTGGATAGATATACCCCATTGTTGAGAACAGCCAAGGCTTCCATAATTTTACAACAACCGGTTGAAACATGATCTGCATTTTCTACCATACCACATCCTCTTGGACAATGGTTGTCATTTAATAACCTCCTTTTCGTAAGAAAATCTGCAGTAGGGATAGCTTCTTTTAATAGTCTCCACCAGAAACAATCTATTCTAGGATTAAGCTTGAGCTTCTTCAACCAATTCCAGTCAAAAGTGGTAGAATTCTGCTCTGTTAGATTTCGGAAAACTAAAGCAGATAAAGAAATCCCAGAGAATTGATGAGTTAGTTCCATTTCATCTTTCAAGATATCAGAATAAATTTTGGTCTTTAAAATGAGTTCAACTAAAGATTTACCAAAGTATTCTTCTAGCTCATTTCTTATCCAAACACCGTTGGAAATGAAGTTTTGGAGAAAAGGAAATTCTGTTTCAGAATCAGGAACTGAAATGTAAGTTGGCCAATCAATCAATCTTTTATCCAACAACCAAATATCATTTAAGGTATTGATATCAGAACCTGAATGAATTTTCCAACGAATACAGTTTTTTAAGGCTTTGGCACCGCTGCAGATGATTTTCCATGAAGGAGATGAATATGGTCTATAAACAGTAGACCAGATATCCAATCCGTATTTTGAAGCCAATGTTTTGTTTAACATAGAGTTTGGATTTTTAACAAAATCCCAAGCAAATTTAGCTCTAAGTGGTCCCATCATACTAACCACTGAATGAATTCCTCTACCTCCATAAGTTATAGGATTACACATATCTTCCCAAGAAATAAAGTGTAAACCGTGAGACCCATCATGTTTATTCCATATAAATTCTCTACAAATCTTCTCAAATTTTTTCAGGATGTTTAATGGAATGAGAGAAGCTGTAACATAGAAGAGCGGAATAGAAGTAAGAACAGATTTTGCCAATAAAATCCTCCCAGGTAATGAAATGAATTTCTTTCCCCAATTATCAAGTTTAGATACAGTTTTCTCAAGGAGACTGAGATAATCTGAAGCGGTCCTTCTTCTTAAGGAAAACTTGAAACCCAGGTATTGAATTTCCTTAGTTTCATTAAAACCAATGAGTTTAGAAATCCTTCTTCTTATGATGATAGAAACAGCTTTGCCAAAGAGAATGGAGGATTTGTTTTTGTTGAATGATTGGCCCGTCCATCTGCAGTAATCAGAAATCAGTAATTTGATTTCTTTCAAATGATCCAACATCCCTTCTGAGAACAGTAGAATGTCATCAGCAAATAAAAGATGAGAAATTTTAGGGGATGAAGGAGACACCTTAATGCCCAACATGTTACTTTTGGCTAAAAAACCATTAGAAAGTAATTGAGAGCATAAGATGAATAAAAATGGAGAAAGAGGACAGCCTTGTCTTAAGCCACTATAAGCTTTAATCCAACTGGAGCCAATACCATTAATTTGAATAGAGAATAAAGGATCTACAACACATTCAATAATCCAATTGGAGAATTTCTTAGGAAAACCATGATAATCCAGAATTTGTTTTAAGGAATCCCAAGATAAGCTATCAAAAGCTTGCTCCATATCCAGTTTTATAGCCACCAAGCCCTTTTTTGCTGTAGAGATCTTAAATTTATGGAAGATTTCTTGGGCTAAAAGGACATGATTGAACAAGGATATCCCCTTCATGAAAGCAACTTGAGTTTCATCAATTAAACAATGGATGACTTTTGAAAGCCTATTAAGAATCATTTTAGCAATGATCTTATAGATAGAAAGACATAGGCTAATTGGCCTAAAATTGGAAGGCAAAAGAGGATTGTTGGTTTTTGGAATAAGAACAATTAATGTCTCCTTCCACTTGGAGCACATTTTACCAGATGAGAAGAAGAGCTCAATAGCTTTCCAAATGTCTCCACCAACTATATTACAATAAGCTTTAATGAATGAGTAGGTAATCCCGTCTACTCCTGGAGCCACATTGTTCTCAAGTTCTTTGATTACAAGTTCCAAATCCTATAAACAAAATTTAGAATCAAGAAAATCAGATTGTGATTGGCTGAGAGTTCTTGGATTGGTAGGCCATCCGTGGAGATTGCAGCCCCTAAGCCTCCATTTGTTGCTGAAATAATCTGAGAAAATATTCTTGATTTTCTCTTGATTATCCACTAAGATACCATAATCATCTTTTATTTGCTTAATGAAATTGCTATTCCTTCGACCATTGGCAAAGACATGAAAAAATTTGGAGTTAGAATCACCTTCCCCTAACCATTTTGTTTTAGCCCTTTGTCTCCACCAAGTATTTAATCTAGCCAAAGTATAATTATATTCATTAACTTTAGACCTAAGAAGCAGAATTTTATCTTGGGGAAATACAACCTCACTCGATTCTTCCAATTGGAGAACTTCAATTTCATTTTGTAACTTAACCTTCAAGTCCTCAAGACTTTGGTGTTTTGCTTTGCTCCAGAAGTACAAAGCTTTCATAACTCTATCAAACTTTTTATTCAGAGCAGACATAGCATCACCTAAGGATGGCTTGCACCAAGAATTCTTGACAACAACAGCAGCAGCCGGGTAGGAGAGCCAAACATCTTCAAATTTTATTTGTTTTGACCTGCAGACCGCAGACATGGAGATTTTTAAAACAATAGGATTGTGATCTGAAGCAACCCTTGGTAGGTGTCGGACAGTAGAAAAAGGAAGCAGTTCAAGAGCCTTGGTATTCAAAAGACACCTATCCAATCTTTCATGAATGCGAGCATTCCCATCTTTATTGTTACACCATGTGAACTTGGGTCCTATGAACCCAATATCATGTAAATCAGAATTGTTCATAAAGCTCCTCATTTCCATAGGACCTTTGGAAAAGGAGAACCTTTTTCCTCCTTTCTTATCTTCATGAGAGAGAAGACAATTGAAGTCCCCTCCAACAATATATGGAAGATCCAGCGTATGATTTTCTTCCAAAATCTGCCATAAGATTCTTTTAGTGTAAAGGTCTCTACCTCCATAAACAGTTGAAATAATCCATAAACCTTTGTTGAATATATTTAGTTCCCCCACTATACATTGTCTTGAAGCAATAATGACAGTGAAGGAAGCTAAAGCCTTCTTCCAAAACACCAGGATTCCTCCGGACATACCACTAGAAGGAAACATAAAGAAGTCCCATTCATCTCCCATAAATTTATTAAAGTCTTCCTTGTCCAAGGACTGAATTTTTGTCTCAACCAAGCCAACAAAAAGAGCACCCCAATCCCTCACAACTTCCTTCAGATATAGGGAGGCTTCCTTTTTACGAGCCCCCCTACAATTTCAAAAAACTAAGGAAGTCATTTGGATAAGAAAGGGGATGAACCCCCATTTCTTTTCTTCTTTTCATTCAATTTGTTGAGTCTAGAGGAAACATTCTAACTTTCCACACCTCGCATCAATTCTGTTTTGCCTGCTGCTTTTGCTTTGCACCAACTGCGAAGAATTCTGTAATGACCTCAAGAGGCATTCCCTTGGTCTCAGGTACCTTGAGGAAGACGAAGAAAAATGCAATGACACAGACAATGGCATAAATCCCAAAGACACCAGCAAGGCCAATGCTGTTGAGCATGACAGGGAGGGAGTATGTGACTATGATGTCGCCGATCCAAAAGACGAGGGCGCAAATGGCTATGCAGATGCCGCGAACCCTGGTGGGGAAGATCTCTGCGCAGAGAATGTTGGGGATTGGACCAAATCCCATGACGAAGCAGCAGAAATAGGCGATGACACTGACCGTGGAGAGCACGGCATGAGCCACCGTTCCGAGCTCGACTAAATTAGCTATGATCAGTACAAGGAGTGAACAAATGAGGATTGGAATGGTGGAGAGGAGAAGAAACCTGCATGAGAGCAATGGAAGCATACGTGTTATTACAAGGAAAATCCGAGAAAATAAGCACATATTAGTTTTTGATTTTGCTTGTTTTGATTATGCTGAAGGTGAGCTTAAGGTGGTTTTATGTGGAACGTTCATCAATGGAGCTGGTGCTTGTTGTTCATGAATAAAAAGTTGGCCCCTTCTCTCAAATTGGTCATAAAAAATGGTAAAGCCACTCATCCGCCTGAGCATCCTCATCTCTACAACACTTAACTTAGTAATATGCTTCTCTTTTAATGGCCAACATTCGGCACCATAAAACATTGTAGGTCTCACCACCATTTTATAGAATTTTCCATTAAGTTTGAAAGGAACTTTTCTATCACACAACAAGCATGATGCATTCCTCCACTTCAACCATCCAACTTAAATTCTACTGATAATATCCCCATCTATTTCACCGTTACTCTGAACAATAAATCCAAGATATCTAAACCGTGTATTCTTATTAATGACTTGATCGCCCAAAGTCACAATCCCTTCACTAGGTCTATTAATTTTAAAATTACACTCCATATATTCAATTCTAGATCTATCTACTCAAGTGAAAACCTTTAGACTCTACAGTTGACCTCCATAATTCAAGTTTACCTTCAACTCCCTCTATAGTCCTAACTTCTGAGATTAAAACAAACATCTAAAAAGCGTAGGGATTATTTTGATCATTTACTCATTTTTAAGCACACTGTTTATCAAATTGAGTTTTCTACCTTCAAGCAACCAAATGGGGTATTAGATAAGATTTGGGGATATGTAGTAAACAATGTAAAACAAAACGACAAGTTGAACAGATAATATACCTTCTCCCAGATATATCCATTAGCCTCATGGCAACACCTATTGCAGGGAGCATCAACAGAGTAGTGAGAGAACTGATGAGGATGGATGATGAATCAGAACCAAGTCCAAGGTTTTTAAGAAGCACTTCAACTCCTGCTTGTTTAAGAATTTGAGGTGTGTAATACAGGACACCATTTATGCCAGAGAACTGCAGGAAAAAAGATAATGTCAGTATAGAAGGATGAAAAGATTTACACATTCTACCATCACATGGTGACAACAAAATTTATACCAAACTTATATTCATTAAACAAATTTGGAGGATAAGTAGCAATAAGAATTAGGATATGGATATTTTAAATTGTAGAGCTTAACAAGCACGCATGAGCTTAAATTTTATAAGCAAGAAGGAATAGCCCCACAGGAAAATAATCAGCAACTGTTCATAAAGATTAATTATCTGTTTTTTTTTTCGAAACAAGAATGAAAAATTACACGATAGAGGGGTGTACTTTTGCTAAGAAAATTATTGAAGGTCAACGTAACAGAGTGAATCCCCAAAAAATTACTAACATCAACAACAACTAGTGGTCCAAACTACAGCGGTAAAAAGACCTCTCTTTAGAAATAAACAAAACATAGAAAATTGATGAGAACTCCAAGGTACTAGATAATTTAAGAAACAAGTAACTTTGAAAAATTTTGTTCATAAGAAGCAAAGAAAAGGATCACCTGCTGCAGAATTTGAATACCAATACCAACAATAAGTGCTTGTTTGACACCAGGTTCAAGAAGATCTGCCCACACAGAACCTTTAGAAACTGTTTCTGATGGATGTACCATTGCCGGTCCAATAGGATGCTGGTCCAGCAGCTCCTTAGAGTAAAGAGCAGGTTGGCTCACTAAAGCCGCGGCCTGGATAAATTCACTTTCTTCTGGAACTTCCTGACCGGGGACTTGAACAAGTGAACCTCTCCTTGAACCAGGCACCCCCTCTTGGTGCAAATAGATTCTCTTAAAGCCTCCTTCCTTGTTCCCATCCGGGCCCTCTCGCTCCGCCCATTTCCATGCCAGTTGCCAACCACCACCAATACCCATACTGCTAACAGCCTCGCCATTTTCATGAGCAGCTTGTGGAGGAACAATGTCCTTCCCCTCCATGCTTGTTGTCTGACGAGAAATCAATGGACTCTGTAAATTGTCATCAGAATCACTTCCTGCAGCAACATCAGAGACATATTCATCACCCTCTCTTTGGCCAGTCTCTTCATCCCATTGCTCAGTTTTAGGCCCTGCAACACTAAACATGCTTCCAAAGTTGGGAAATAAAGTGCTTCTCATGCTGCCCATCTCAGTAACGGGTAACTTTTCATGGACGCTACCAAAGAGAGTGACAAGAGGATCCATGAGAGGAATGTTGCCCTGCTTTTCCAAGCTGCTACCATAGCGAGAAACAACACTTCCAAGGATGCTCTGCCCCTTTACAGGGCGTGCAACCCACGAGACGCCCTCCTCAGGCCCATAGAGTGTAATTTGTTCCTTCTCACCATCGTGTTCTTGTTCATCAATGATCTCATTAGCAGGACCAATGATGTACTCCTCAATCGAAGTATCTGCCCCAACACCCAGACCTTCTACAAGAAGAGCCATCTCTCCTGCACGTCAAAATAAAATAGTCATATCTAAGCATTCTTGCTCCATTTAAACTTATTAAATAAATAAAAACAGAAAAAAAACAGATGGAAGCATAGAAAAAAAAAATATTTCACACGAAAAATTGTAAACGAGTTTTTACACAAGTATCTTTAATTTATGTGGCAACTGCAACCTAATAATAGCTTTTGAATTATCAATCAATACATTACATTCACACATGATGATTAGCAAAGTAAATGATCTAAGTTTAGAGCATCAATGAAGCTGAAAGGCACGAACATGTTTGCAAGCTCATCTATATGTTTAGAACTCTGTTTATTAGTAGAAAATGGACATTACCCTAATTTGAGAAAATGTGTAGAGATAACATGAAAAACAAAAGAGTCCGTCTCTTCGGAGACATCCGATAAAATTGGAACGATACAGAGAAGATTAGCATGTCCCTTGCGCAAGGATGACAAGCAAAAATCGAGAAATTGTCCAATTTTTTTTTTAAATAATAAAATAAAATTTTTTAAAAAATATATGAAAAAAAAAGAGAACGTGTACAGGAACATGACAAAAATGTTCATAATGATTATACAAAGTTATCGTCATTAGGATGATCATAATCATCTTCATCCCCATATCAACAATTTGCAATTGTTTGTGAATCTTTGTTTCCATGTTGTTACACGAATACTTTGTTTCCACGCAATGGTTTTAACCCAAATTTGCATAAATCCAATTACTTTCTAGATATGTTACCTATGCAACCCCTTTTTCCTTTCCATTTGTTCTGTATTAAATTTGTTTCCTTCCTAATTGATGCAACTTTGGCAATCCCATCTTAAATGCTCAAACAACCACAATCTATTTTCTAATCTTATATTTAGTGCATGCTATTCCCAAACACCCTTTCACATAATAATAATAATAATAATAATAATAATTTCACACATTACATTCAAAAGTTTATCACATTTTGATATTAGCATTCTCACTATTATCAAACTAAATTTGGTTTTAGTGGGTATTCATTGAAGTAGGGACCAGACCTGACAGATGCTAAATAGGACGTTTTGGGATCATAATTTGGGGGTATCATATTGCGGCAGATGCTAAGATTGTTCCTTATCTGATGGAGATATTTATGGAAAAGTTCAAATTTAAATTAATTCCTACCACTCTTTTTGCCTATGAATAGACTGTTTCTGGCAATAAAATTAATTCAAATTATCCCAAAATCTTCACTTCTCTCCCCTTCCTCACTACTAGTTGTGGGCCACTTTATCCCCTCTAAATGTCGCCTTTCCTCCTTCCAGAGATCAAATTCTATGTCGCCAACGGCTGCCTAGAGCCACTAGCCATTATCCCATAGTTTCAGAACTATTGGCCGAACTTTGCTACTACTATCATGGAGTCTAAATGGTGTCCATGTTCTGGCTGAAACCCATAAGGAAAATTAAGTATTGCTTATTATCTCAGAATATAAATGAGACAGAAACAAGAACATGCTTGCCCTCCCAGAGCAAAACAAAGATAAAAACAAAAACCTGCTTGTTGTCATGGAAAAGAACAGAGATTAAAAACAGCACGATAGTTGATATTCAGTGCAGAAGTGAAAAACATTGTCTGCTTGCTGTCTACAGAAATAAAGAGCAAAAATCAGAATAAAAAATCTTATACATCTTGAACCAATGTTCAAGACACTTTTTAATTAATAGAGATATCATTAAGGAACCTAAAGAAATCCTAAATCTTTGTGAATTTGTTCAAGCCTCTTATTATAGACTTGTGTTATATTGTTAATCTGTTGGTTATGAATTGAGTTCAATATCAAAGCACTCATAATTGATGCATGATATAAACAAAAGATGGTACTATAGAATGGGAGAACTTCTTGTTGTTTTAGATTCACACCAAAAGGAAAGAAAGAAGTCAAATCAAGAAAAAATGGCTGAAAATGAGTCCTCTCTTAATCTAATAGAACAAATGATCAGATTACCAGTAAAAAATGATGATAATTATTAGTGTGTAGGATGCAATCTAGCAAATTGAATAATAATGATCCTCACTCATGCTTCCAGTCCGCCACCATGACTGCTATCAAAGAGGTCCACCAAGATTGACTCCATCTCTAATGCGATATTGCCAAATCTACTATTGTACCGAACTCCATCATTAAGATCGATTCCACCAGACTCAAGGTGAGCAATGCATGGTTAGAAGTGTATAATTAAACAATGGTGTACCTTCATTTACTAAAACTATCCAAAAATAAACAAAATGATGTCTTCCCAAAAAGCAAGGGTCAAGAACTACCACAAACTGAGAAGACTATATTACAGAAGGAGGAGCTTAAAGAACCACCTCCTTGCTAATTAGAATAAAAAATATAAGAAAGTCAATGCTTTATTGGTTTTGGCAATCTTATTATAGAGCCAAGTCAAACTGAGTAGTAAAGCTTTGAACATTTTGAGTGAATAGGAACACAAGAGATTGCCATAATTAGAAGGCACCTAAAAATAAAATATTACCCAAGCTACATGATTCATGAGATTCTCAAAATTCATGTTTTCAAACAAAATTTCTAAAATATCTTAGAAACTTCTTGAAAAATCAATTTCCAAACAACAACAACATCAAGCCTTTATCCCATTATGCAGGGTCGACTACAGGAATCCTTTTTCTCTATTGTGTCCTGTTAAAATTCTCATTTAAATCTAATAAAGAAGCGTCATTTCTAATATTTTCTAACCAGGTGCTTTTAGGTCTACCTCTGCCTTTCTTAACATAAATCAAATCTAATACATATACATTCCTAACCGGGTCATCAGAAGGCCGCCATTTTATGTGACCAAACCATCTAAGACGACTCTCTCTAATCTTATCTTCCACTGGAGCAACTCCAACCTTTCACGTATATGCTCATTTCGTATCATTTCTCTAAGAGTAAAGCCACTCATCCACCTTAGCATCCTCATCTCAGTAACACTTGATATCATGCTTATCTTTTAATGTCTAACATTTTGCACCATAAAGCACAATCTTATGTATCACCTTTATTCTTCAAATAGTAATTAACACACATTCTTCACTCATCTGGCATATTTTCAGTCTTCAAAATAATATTACAAAATTTCATAAGCTGAGAAATTCCTTCATCTCCAAAGCATTTCTACACCTCTATTGGAATATCATCAGGTCCAACAGCTTTTCCACACTTTATTTTTTTTAAAGCTTCTCTAACTTCGGTTTTACTAATACACCAATAAAAACAAAAATATTTATTTTCATTTAGGGTGCTAAGGTCACTAAAATCAATCACATTCTCATAATCTTTATTGACAAGTTTAGAAAAATATCTCCTCCACCTTTGTTGATTGTATCTTCTAATAAAAAACACTTATTAATCTTCATCATTAATACATTTCACTTGAACTAAATCATTACTACTCTTATCCCTTTGATTGACTAACTTATACATAAATCTTTCGCCCTCCTTATCTAATCTATTATATAAATCATTAAAAGCTAAAATCGTTGCATCACATATTACTTTCTTAAACTCCTTGCGGGCCTCTTTATATATTTTTCAATTATCAAAATTTGTATATCTAAATTCTTAAACTCCTTACGGGTCTCTTTATATCTTTTCCAATTATCAAAATTTTTATATCTAAATCAATTTTTATAACAAATCTTTTTATTTTTTTATCTTTTCTTGCACATTTTGATTCCACGGACTATTTTTACTATTAGGAGATTTTTTCTTTGATACTCTAAGTACATCTTTTGCAACATTTTTAATATCACAAGCTACTTTTTGCCATATAACATTAACTTTCTCATGCACAAACAAAATCTTAAGTTCTAGCATCTTACTCTCAAAAATATTTTTATTAATATTCTTTAAATGCCCCCATCTAATCTTAAAATAATATTTTACTTTATTTTTTATTTTCCACATCTTCAGTCCAAAACTAACACGTGATGTTTGATACATAAACTTTCACTCGGAATAACTTTCCAATCTAAGAGGGTAAAAATGACTAATCGGGTAAGAGGGTAAAAAATCAACCTACCTCCACCTAAAGTTATGATTTCACAGAAGTGAAATTTTCTACAAGGGGACTAATGATATGGTGATTAGATCTAGTAAATGATTAATTGAATTGTCTATGATCATGATTTGGGCATCAGATCATGAAAAGATGAAATGGATCATATTCGTTGAAGTTTTGATAGTTTGATCTTGTGATGGAGATTTTTTCTTATGTTGTTTTTAGGCCACAACATCAGAATTGAAAATTAAGTTAATAGGAGTTCATGGGTGAAAACGGATCATTGATCCAATACCTAATGATTAAGATCAAGAGACAAAGAATCTGAACAGTTAGATGTGATAAAGACAAAATGACAAAGATGACTTAAATTTAGACAAATTTGTATTTTGAATTTAAATTTGAGCTTCCCTTTTTGTGGAGTTAGATTAGAAAGGATAACATTATTTCAAAATTTAGAGTTAGGAATAAGATAGTACCTTATTCGAAGAAATTAGTTTAAAAGAAAATAAGGACAAATGTACATTAATTCATGAACTTTGTTTTGCATATAAATAGGCTATTTCCAGCAATAAAATGTAATTTAACTATCTCAAAACTCTTTTTTTATCTCTTTCTCTCCTATAGTTGTCATCCACTTGTATTCTCATTAAGAGCTGCCACTCATCATTCTAGAGGTCGAAATGCTGCTAGATGCAGGCTCGCACAGTTCTAGAGCTGCGGGACAGTTGCCGCTGTTGCTGCCATGGAGTCCCGCTGCAGTCCAGGTCCGGGCTGAAACCACAGGGATGGAAAACCAGCTATATTGCTTGCTGTACCAAAGCAGAATCAAGACAGAAACAGCAACATGCTTTTGCTATTCCGGAGCAAAGCAAAGAACAGAGATCACAAACAGCAAAAACGTTTCTTTCCTGGTGCAGGATAAGTCAGAAAACTGAATATGAATGCTGCCT